TCAGGCCACTTACATAGTAGCAAACCACCCACATTCCCTCTGTATTTCATCGGCGAGAAGTAATTTCCACTCAAACAACTTCTTCCTGCGAACCACTATGTGGAACAGACTCCCAAGTGGGTGTTTCCTGGAGCACTTCAATCTTAACATGTTCAAGTCTAGAATTGGCCGTTATCTTCATCTCCTATCCAAATAAGCTACCCCTTAATGTAACCTCTACCTGGAGTGGTCCCTGGGCCTTGGAGAGAGGAAACCTTACTGTAAAAAAATTTTTTTAAAAAATGGTATAAATAACTGTATGCGGATTGCTGTTTCCAATCCTACTAGGAATGATAACAAAATAATACCCACTTCGCTAATTTAAAGGTTATCAACCCGGGAGTGGAGTCTGTTTCAACTGTGACGAATCAAAATATGAATTAGAAATAGTATAGTAAAAACAGAACCAGTGAATAAACGTATACCAAAGCTTTATTGCACTTTATTCTGACTACTCGTCTACTGACTGATGTTACAGGTTGCTTTTTATACCGCCTAGATTGTAAGGGGAGGTAACTGTTGCTTTATCAGTACAAATAGTTTAGGATACATGAGAATCCGAATAGTACTCGAAATGATCTTAGAAACAACTGATCATTCCAATGATGAAGAGTACTGCGAAAGGAAGGCAAACGCGTTTGCTGATTTAATCCAATTTCTCGGTAATCGAAACTTATCTCTTATTATGAATGGCAATTATCTCAATTGCTAGAGCATCAACTTAAGAGGAATCAGGTTAATCATATGTTTATATCTTACTTTAACCCTTTCAGACCTGACAACCGCTTTACCGGTGGTAGAGAAAGATGACGTAATGTCCAGCCACCGGTTGAACATTTGTAGAGAAAAATGACGTAATGCCCAGCCACCGATTGAACAGTTGTAGAGAAAAATGACTTAATGTCCAGCCACCGGTTGAACAGTTGTAGAGAAAAATGACTTAATGCCCAGCCACCGGTTGAACGGTGGTAGAGAAAAATGACGTAATGTCCAGCCACCGGTTGAACAGTGGTAGAGAAAATGACGTAATGCCCAGCCACCGGTTGAACAGTGGTAGAGAAAATGACGTAATGTCCAGCCACCGGTTGAACGGTGGTAGAGAAAAAATGACGTAATGTCCAGCCACCGGTTGAACGGTGGTAGAGAAAAATGACGTAATGTCCAGCCACCGGTTGAACAGTGGTAGAGAAAAATGACGTAATGTCCAGCCACCGGTTGAACGGTGGTAGAGAAAAAAATGACGTAATGTCCGGCCACCGGTTGAACAGTGGTAGAGAAAAATGACGTAATGTCCAGCCACCGGTTGAACAGTGGTAGAGAAAAAAATGACGTAATGCCCAGCCACCGGTTGAACAGTGTTAGAGAAAAATGACGTAATGTCCAGCCACCGGTTGAACGGTGGTAGAGAAAAATGACGTAATGTCCGGCCACCGGTTGAACAGTGGTAGAGAAAAATGACGTAATGTCCAGCCACCGGTTGAACAGTGGTAGAGAAAAATGACGTAATGTCCGGCCACCGGTTGAACAGTGTTAGAGAAAAATGACGTAATGTCCAGCCACCGGTTGAACGGTGGTAGAGAAAAAATGACGAATGTCCGGCCACCGGTTGAACGGTGGTAGAAAAAATGACGTAATGTCCAGCCACCGGTTGAACAGTGTTAGAGAAAAATGACGTAATGTCCAGCCACCGGTTGAACGGTGTTAGAGAAAAATGACGTAATGTCCAGCCACCGGTTGAACAGTGGTAGAGAAAAATGACTTAATGTCCAGCCACCGGTTGAACAGTGGTAGAGAAAAATGACTTAATGCCCAGCCACCGGTTGAACGGTGGTAGAGAAAAATGACGTAATGTCCAGCCACCGGTTGAACGGTGGTAGAGAAAAATGACGTAATGTCCAGCCACCGGTTGAACGGTGGTAGAGAAAAATGACGTAATGTCCAGCCACCGGTTGAACAGTGGTAGAGAAAAATGACGTAATGTCCAGCCACCGGTTGAACGGTGGTAGAGAAAAATGACGTAATGCCCAGCCACTGGTTGAACAGTGGTAGAGAAAAATGACGTAATGCCCAGCCACCGGTTGAACAGTGGTAGAGAAAAATGACTTAATGTCCAGCCACCGGTTGAACAGTGGTAGAGAAAAATGACTTAATGCCCAGCCACCGGTTGAACGGTGGTAGAGAAAAATGACGTAATGTCCAGCCACCGGTTGAACAGTTGTAGAGAAAAATGACTTAATGCCCAGCCACCGGTTGAACGGTGGTAGAGAAAAATGACGTAATGTCCAGCCACCGGTTGAACAGTGGTAGAGAAAAATGACGTAATGCCCAGCCACCGGTTGAACAGTGGTAGAGAAAAAATGACGTAATGTCCAGCCACCGGTTGAACGGTGGTAGAGAAAAATGACGTAATGTCCAGCCACCGGTTGAACGGTGGTAGAGAAAAATGACGTAATGTCCAGCCACCGGTTGAACAGTGGTAGAGAAAAATGACGTAATGCCCAGCCACCGGTTGAACAGTGTTAGAGAAAAATGACGTAATGTCCAGCCACCGGTTGAACGGTGGTAGAGAAAAATGACGTAATGTCCGGCCACCGGTTGAACAGTGGTAGAGAAAAATGACGTAATGTCCAGCCACCGGTTGAACAGTGGTAGAGAAAAATGACGTAATGTCCAGCCACCGGTTGAACAGTGGTAGAGAAAAATGACGTAATGCCCAGCCACCGGTTGAACAGTGGTAGAGAAAAATGACGTAATGCCCAGCCACCGGTTGAACAGTGGTAGAGAAAAATGACGTAATGCCCATCCACCGGTTGAACGGTGGTAGAGAAAAATGACGTAATGTCCGGCCACCGGTTGAACAGTGGTAGAGAAAAATGACGTAATGTCCGGCCACCGGTTGAACAGTGGTAGAGAAAAATGACGTAATGTCCAGCCACCGGTTGAACAGTGGTAGAGAAAAATGACGTAATGCCCAGCCACCGGTTGAACAGTGGTAGAGAAAAATGACTTAATGCCCAGCCACCGGTTGAACGGTGGTAGAGAAAAATGACGTAATGTCCAGCCACCGGTTGAACAGTTGTAGAGAAAAATGACTTAATGCCCAGCCACCGGTTGAACGGTGGTAGAGAAAAATGACGTAATGTCCAGCCACCGGTTGAACAGTGGTAGAGAAAAATGACGTAATGCCCAGCCACCGGTTGAACAGTGGTAGAGAAAAATGACGTAATGTCCAGCCACCGGTTGAACGGTGGTAGAGAAAAATGACGTAATGTCCAGCCACCGGTTGAACGGTGGTAGAGAAAAATGACGTAATGTCCAGCCACCGGTTGAACAGTGGTAGAAAAAATGACGTAATGCCCAGCCACCGGTTGAACAGTGTTAGAGAAAAATGACGTAATGTCCAGCCACCTGTTGAACGGTGGTAGAGAAAATGACGTAATGTCCGGCCACCGGTTGAACAGTGGTAGAGAAAAATGACGTAATGTCCAGCCACCGGTTGAACAGTGGTAGAGAAAAATGACGTAATGTCCAGCCACCGGTTGAACAGTGGTAGAGAAAAATGACGTAATGCCCAGCCACCGGTTGAACAGTGGTAGAGAAAATGACGTAATGCCCAGCCACCGGTCTAACAGTGGTAGAGAAAATGACGTAATGCCCATCCACCGGTTGAACGGTGGTAGAGAAAAATGACGTAATGTCCAGCCACCGGTTGAACGGTGGTAGAGAAAAATGACGTAATGTCCGGCCACCGGTTGAACAGTGGTAGAGAAAAATGACGTAATGTCCAGCCACCGGTTGAACAGTGGTAGAGAAAAATGACGTAATGTCCAGCCACCGGTTGAACAGTGGTAGAGAAAAATGACTTAATGCCCAGCCACCGGTTGAACAGTGGTAGAGAAAAATGACGTAATGTCCAGCCACTGGTTGAACAGTGGTAAAGAAAAATGACTTAATGCCCAGCCGCCGGTTAAACAGTGATAGAGACAAATGACTTAATGCCCAGCCACCCATTGAACGATGGGTAAACTCTTGTAACTATTTTTATATCTACCGTGAAAGATTACATACCAATTATTTGCAAATTTTGACTCAGGAGCTCAGGCAAAAGGGTTAAAATTGTTCAAGAAAGCACGGTTCAAAGGGTAAAACTACTTCGATTTGCTTGCTTTTATCAAAGGGGAAACGGGGGAACTCTTCTTTTGCCGGATTATCATTTAATCTATTCAATAGCAGTTTTAATTTCTTTACAAATAACTAGTAGCACATAGTAACTAATCTACTTGTTTATTATACAGCATACACTGTACTAACTAATAACAAGTTCAGTTATTAGGTTGGTGCAAAAATAATTCGTTTTCTCACATAGTAACATATGTTAAAAAACGAAATTACTTTTGCACCAACCTAATATAATTATAACAGCTGTTGGCTCATATACGAGTATGCTTGTCTGATAGGGCGGCTAGCTGGTAATCACTTGCAGAGGCACACTTGTCATTGTTCAACACCCACCTGTGATTTATACTGCAACTATGCTGAGAAGACATTAGTTACAGTTTGGGGGGGAGGGCGCTTGACTGGTTGAGTCTTTTTTTTTACGGTTTATCCACCTTTTGCAGGTTATTTAATGCCAGAAAAATTTAAACTGTAAGAATTTTTCTTTAAGAAAATAAGGATTTACTGATACAAATCTTTTTCTAAAATTAATTCACTTCAAGCAAAGCAATAAAACAACTAGTACGAGGTTACTGAATGTTAAAGAATAAAAGAAAAAATAATATTAAGGAGAGAGGAGAATAACAATTAAGAATCTTACTAATTAACCCATAGCTGGGGGAAGAACAGGTGGATACACGCCTTTGTGCGTAAGTAAATATAACAAACCCAACTGGAATTGAAACCTTCCTATCCAATTAACAAATCCGTGCCATTATCCATTGTTTCACCCACACAAGATTACAAACACCTGGTATTCCCAATCGGTCACCCATCTAAGTACTGACCATGCTCGACGTTGCTTAACTTTGTTGATCATACGGGAGCCGGTGTTTCAGTGTAAGCTGGGAGAGCGCATTATCTGGTGTGATTAACAGTTTAAACAAATCCAGTACGCTCAAACCCTCGGTCACGATGACTTGTAACTTTGTGCCAACTTAACCATCGAAGAACAATTTTTTCTAAACAGTTTCACTCACAAGTCCTGCGTTAACCCGCGGCATGGTTTTCTGCACACTGAGATCACCTCCCCAATGGCCGATGACATGAAGGTCGTGAAATTCGAACCTGGGTCTCATAGTCTGAAGGTGAACTTTCTAAACACTCGGACACGCACCAATATTTATATTTATGCAGGGTGGGGTAAAGTCGTGCTCCATAGATAGGTCAAGGAGGTCCTGTTGAGTGGCCACTGAGGTCACTCGACCTCACACCCTTTGATTTTTTTTCTGTGGGGCCAGTTGAAATCAGTTCTTTATCAGACGCGCCCAAGAAATATTGAGGAAGTTAAAGAAAGAATTAAAGATGAATATAGTAAATAGACAGAAGAAACTCTCTGACGTGTTAATGAACAATACAGACATAGATTTGAAATGGTGTTTGAAAAAGAAGGAGGCCATTTTGAACAGCACATATAACAATTAAATAATTAGTAAATAAAATGTTCATGAGTAATTATACTTTTAATAAATTCTCACTGTGGCGTGTGACTTTGCCTTACCGTGTATATGAAGAAATATTCAACCTGCCCGATTATTAAGAGCGCCCTTTGTATTAGTCACAAAACATTACTTCCAGGTATTGTCTTCTGAAGGGTATTTCAGCGTGGTGTAATGAGTGTCTCGCTAGATCAGTTACAACTGAGTAGGGAGTTTGAGTCTCACTGAGTGCTCCGTGTTTTCGTGCCATATCTAAATGACGCTTAGTAAATTAATACTAAATTAAGTTAAGACCATACCCAACTCGTTGAGCATCAAGCATAGATGGGTTAAAACCACACCTTTGATTAATTTTGCACTTTTTAACCCTTTCATTAAAACTCAGTGTGATGCAAAAATCGGTCACCATAGAGGTTAATGAATAGGTCAAAGAGGTCCTATTGAATGGCCACCTAGGTCACCAGACCTCACAGCCTTTGATTTTTTTTTCTGTGGGGCCATTTGAAATCAGTTCTTTATCAAACGCGCCCAAGAAATATTGAGGAACTTAAAGAAAGAATTAAATATGAATGCAGTAAAGTGACAGAAGAAACTCCCCAAAGTGTTAATGAATCATGCAGACAGAATTGAAATGGGTTTTGAAAAAGAAAGAGGCCATTTTGAACGGGACTTATAACAATTAAATATCTAGTAAATAAAATTTTACACTTTTAATAAAATATCCCTATGGTTCACCACTTTTTCCTCACCCTATATATTGCACTAAAATGTATTGAATAGGCAAACATTGTTAACATGTCTACCATGAAAGCTAGAAGAAAGGACAAACCTTCAATTGTATGAAGACAGAATGTATAGTCGTCAGCAAAAAGGACATCCCAAGATTCGAGCTACAAAATGGAGATGGCAAAATCAAGCATTCTTTCTTTCTTTCTTTCTTTCTATATGCCGTGTCCTTTCAGGACGTAGGCGATCATGGCTCCCCATCTCCCTCTATCCCTTGCAGATCTTAACAAGTTCCTCCCCTCTGTCACTTCCCCTCTGTCACCTCCCCCAGACCACGTTCTGTCATCCACTTGCTTAAAGCCGCTAGGTATGTCATGCGTTGTTTTCCCTTGTCTCTCTTTCCCGCTATTCGACCCGTGAGTAACAGATTCTCCAGGCCCTCTTTCCTCATTATGTCCCAGGAACTTCAGCTGGCTCTTCCTGATGTTATGTATAAGCATTCTCTTTGTTTGCATCCTATCTAAGACCTCATCGTTGCCCACACGCTCGGTCCATGATATCCTTAGCATCCTTCTGTAGAACCACATCTCCATCGCCTCGAGTCTCTTCATTTTTGAGGAAATCGTCCAACATTCGCTGCAATAAAGGAGGACAGATGTCACGTAACAGTTCAGTATTCTTTTCTTTGTTACCAAAGAAATCCTATTGTCTCTCAATACTCTTCCCAGCTTTTGGAATGTGTCCTTGGCCATCCCCAATACGTCTACGGATCTCAGTGTCGCATTTACCGTCCTCTGTCAGGACGCTTCCCAGATAATTAAAATTCCGTGTCTGCTTGATTCTAGTGTTCCCGACTTGTAAATCGCAATTCGGGCTCATCCTTTTATTGATGACCATGCATTATGTTTTCTTATAGTTTATACAGTCCCTTCTTCACGCTCTCCATCGCTACCTTCTGTAGGAGATTTTCTTGTTTGCAAATTAAGCATTACAGAATTTTAAACAGCTGGGAAGGGTTTTAACATTAATTCATTCATCTAGTCAGTCAGAGCATTTTGCGCCGGTGTGGTCACCACTCCCTGTGGTTCATGGTGACATTCAAAGCAAAATAGGGCAATATGACTTGAAGGTTCCGTTTGTACAAGGGATGTTGTGGCTACCTATCTCTCTCCTCTTGGAAGTTCCTCCGCCCACTGCAAACTTACAAAATAGAGGATACGAGCGTTATGTCTTGCCTGAATATATTTTGAAATTATACACATAGATATGACACACTTGAATCTATGGGACATCCAGTGAGGATAGAACTCACTACTCGGTTGTAATGGTTCTAGCGAGACAAGCTTGCTAACCATTACACCACTTCGAGGTTCCCCTAGAATGAATAAATGCGTGTGCAGACCACAGGCTCTATCAGGCAATCTTGCTCGAGGTACAACATAGCTTTTATCGCTATCGTACATATGCTGCCCCAACGAGCCGAATAGGATATGGGATTCATGACATGATGATACGTGTTCCCATTCGGTGCCCATGGTAATCTTCTGGCCTTGTACCACACTAAACTATATTTAAGGAACTTTTATGCGCTATGTTGCTTTATGCACCTTGAATGGTTTTACAACAACCTTATTCAGTAAACCTCTAACTTGAACGCCTCTTGGGCCTTCTATTAGGTATATTAATTAGATATGAAGATTGTTTGGGATTTAGGAATAAACGAATAGAAGTAGGCGAATCGTACGGTTAAGTTACTTTCTATGATAAAGGGTATGCTGGATAGATGTCAGCCCTAGACTTGAAGAATGTAGTGATCTAGAAAGCAACCTCTCGGGAGTCTGATCTCGACAAATATTAATTCTTAGCAAGAAGCTGTTTGATTGGAACTTCCTCTTTACTAAAGGAAATCGAAGTAAATGAGAATGACTCCCCACACTTTGCACGTGGCATGGCGGTTCCAAGCTGTGAAGGTGTGGACTAGTAGAACTAAGAAATGTTGCTCGCCTGAAATATGTCATTTATTTATTCAGTGAGCGCATTTTTCGCCGCTGTGGTCACCACTCTCCCTTATTTCTTTTGTAATTGTGATTCATCGTGATATGAAATAAAAGATAAGAAAAGAAAAAAGAAAGAAAGAAAGAACAAAAGATGGGGAGAAAGAAAAGAAAAGAAAAGAAAAGAAAAGAAAAGAAAAGAACGAGATTACGAGAGCGTTAAGAAAAAGCACGAATGAAAGAAAGAACGAACGAGGAAGAGAGAGAGGGGATAAAGAGAAACCGGGAAAGAAAGAAAGAAAGAAAGAAAGAAAGAAAGAAAGAAAGAAAGAAAGAAAGAAACGAGAAAGAGAAGAAAGAAAATAAAGAAAGAGAGTACGAGGATGAATAAAAAGAAAGAACGAGAAAGTTCAGAAAGAAAAGAAAAAGAAATAAAAACAACAAGAGAGAGTGGAGAAAAAAAGAAGGGGAGAGAGAATGATACAACGTGAGAGATAAGAAAGAAAGAAAGAAAGAAAGAAAGAAAGAAAGAAAGAAAGAAAGGAAGAAGAACGAGTCGGCCATTTTACTTGCATATCCAAGTTGGTCAATTCACAAATCATAGTCGAGTTACCCTGGCCGACATCCTAGCCTAAATTCTCTCATGACACCAGTTAAGGTTGCTATTGTCATTATAATTCTCTTTGTCACTGTTTGTCCGCACTCTATAGAAACTTAATAAAACGCACCATAATACTTTCCGTTTCTTCTTGCGCAAAAACCACAGGTTAATCTATTCTTAATATTCTAAGTAGAAGTATTTTAAAATAGTTTCTATTTTTATATTGTGAATACGTCAGCGAATATTGCAAGGATGCAAAACAGTATTGCGAATTATATATATATATATATATATATATATATATATATATATATATATATATTATAATTGATTCAAAATATGTTTTTTTTCGATACACAGTTTCCTAACCATGTTTTCAAAAATGGAAGCTAAAAGCCACGAATTTAATTTTAATTAAATTAAAAGACATTACTTCCATTTCATTCTCAAGCAATTTGGACTCCAAAATTCGCTTGAGGATGAAATGAACTAATGTCTTTAATTTAATCACAAAATTAAATTCGTGGCTTTTTAGCTTCCATTTTTGAAACAGGGTTAGAAACTGTGTAGCGAAAAAACATATTTTAAATCAATTAATTTATAATATTAATGCTCTGTAAATTTACATTTAGCACCATTTTGTAAAAATAAAATATCTATAAGAACACCGGATTATATATCTTGCTGTTCTTTTTATATATATATATTATATATATATATATATATATATATATATATATATATATATATATATATATATAAGTGCGCAGGTATGCAGAAAATAGAAAAGAACACGTTGGGTGCATAATCCGGAGTTCCTAGTATTTTTGTTTTTATTTTTAAGAAGTCAGTGCTCCATACAGAAGTAGAGCTTTATTATAATATTTTTTTGTTTATTTTGGAATCATATTTTAAACAAAAAACATATTATATATATATATATATATATATATATATATATATATATATATATATATATATTATATTAGTTAGTTAGTTTATGAAAATCTAGGTAATCCGTATGGGTAAACCTAAGGAGGATAAATATATATATATATGATTCAAATCAAAACAGGATTCAG